AATTTAAAAAATCTTGTTTAGGAATACATATTTTATCATCTAAAATTTCTAAATGAATATTATTCCATTTTAATTTAAAAGATTTTTCTGTTTTTTGTAAGTTTTGAAAAGTTTCATTAATTTTAAAATAATTAGGATTATTTCTATTTGGTTTTACAATAAAAAGATAATGATGATTATATAATTGATGTTGATTTGATATAAGATGAGAATATTCTAATATAGTTAAGGTTCTACTTTTTTGAACTTTTTTTGCTGCAAGTTTAATAAAGTTATGAAAATTTGAAGTTTCATATTGCCAATTTTCAATTGTACATGGACCAAAATTTTTTTTTGATAGTGGCATTGTTATAAAAATCAAATTTTAAATTTATAAAATTATTATTAAAAAAAATGAAAAATAGATTATATTTATAATTTTTATTGTAATCCAAAATATAATAAATATTACAAAAATATTAACTATTATTACACAAAATTATTATTATCTGACAAAATAAAACACATGCAAAAATAATTATGTTATTGATGTAAATCTTACTTAAAATAATAATTAACTCTAATTAAATATAGATTTGCATCAAAAAAATTCTAATCTCTGTATATATATTACTCTTTTATATTATTATTATATTAATAATTTTAAATAATATATATAAATAATTTATTAAAATTAATTAAAAATTTTATTAAAAAAAAAACTTGAAGAATTTTCATTTATAATAACCCTGATAAAAATGTAGCAATAAAATTTCACACACAGCAACAAATTTACATACAGCAATGAATTCACTTATGACTTCAAGAATTACTCCAACAAAATAAGTAAAAAAAAGCAACAAAGTTTACCTATTGCAACAAAGCTGCTTGCTCTATGGCAGCAAAATTCCATTACCAGACTCCAAGCTAACAAAATTGTGTGACTATAAGACTCTGAATATGACAGTTTTAAAAATGACTTCAGTAATGAAATAAGTATATAAAAAAAAAAAGAAGTGTTAACTAATCAGAAAGAAAAAAAAAACAAAAAAAAGAACAAAAAAAAAACATGACAAAGCTTATTTTATGGCAATAAAGAACAATCTATTCACATTACACAGACTCTAAAAATTGTACTGACTATGACAACCTCAAAGATGATAGTTTTAAAATCAACTCTAGCAAAGACTTTAGCAAAAACTCCAATAATGAAACAAATTAAAAAAAAGAAAAAAAAAATTGTTAGTTAAGGAAAAAAAAATTCTCCAAGATCCAGAAAAGACAATACCTACCATGCTAGGTCTATTTTGTAATTAATGTGAAAAGCAATAATGCCAAAATCTATAACCAGAAAAGATAATATCTACCTAAAGACCTATATATCCAAAACCAATAATATCAGAAACCTGTCAAAGAGAGAAAATTAGTAAGAAGCAACAGAACTACTGAAAGAGAAAAAAAAGTCAAAAAATCAGAAAAGACTATATATCTAAAAAGCCTATTTGTCTCAACTTTATAGGCAGAAGTTTGTCTAATTGGCTAATAAATTCAATTTAATTTTACATTATTTATATAGTTTAGAGTACTTTTTAAAAAAATGCAAACCAATTATAATAAAGTAAAAAATAATATAGAAGGTTTCATTAGAACTGTAGACACCATATTCAAAAAGAAGATCTAATTATCATCTATTTAAAAAAATTAGCTTAGTAATAAGTTGATTTTATTGGGTTATTATTATACTAACTTATTTAAACAGATGAGAATTAGATCTTATTTTTGACTATAGAATCCTACAGTTTTAAAGAAACCTTCTATACAGCCTTTTTTTATCTTTTTAAAAAGTATTCTAAACTGTATAGAATGTAAAATTAAATTTATTAGCCAATCAGACAAGCTTCTGTCTATGAGTCCCAACTACAAACTGAAAATGATGATGCTAAAAGCCTGTCAAAAAGAGAATAAGCAATGAAACTAAGAACAATGCCTATATAAAAGATTTAATAATTCCAATCATGCACTGAAAATGATGCAGAAACCTATTAAAAAAGCTGATATAAGTTAATAAATGCCAAGATTATACAAGGATGAAAGATAAAAAAAAAACCTTTAAACAAAAGAACAATATCTATCCAAAAGATCCATTCACTCATGTTTTTGAAATTACTAATCCACCCACTTCAATTAAATAGCAACAAGTTCACACTATGAAAACTCCAAAAATGATGATGATGATTGATTCTAGCAAACAGCATGTAAAAGAAAAAAAGAAATATTGGTTAAAAAAAAAAATTTCACCTAAATAGCTTTTACAAAGATGACAACTTCACAACAATGACAGCATCAAAAAGGTTACTCTACAGTAATTCCAAAATGACAACACCAATGATGCAAATATGCCAAGAAAAAATGAAGAGGTTAAAAAAGAAAAAAAAGTTTATATAACTTACTAATATCTAATTAACTTATTTACTTATCTAAATTTGCTCTTATAAGTAAAGTTTTTAATGATACTGATTTATACTGATCTTTTTTTATAGAAGAAATACAAAGAATTAAAAAACATTATAATATGTATTAAAAAAAATTTATTATGTAAAATTAAGAGTTGCCAATTTACAACTCTTCCTGACAATCACTTAGACACGAAATTGGTGGAAAAGAAAATAGATTTTCTGCATAATCAGCAATAAGAAAGGTTACAAATAGCATTAAAGAAAAGAGACAGCAACAAGAAGAATAGCAAACAAGTTTAGTAATAGGAAGTACTGCTAGTACTAGCAAAGCAACAGTAGAGGAAAACTCAAGTTTCTTTGAAAAATTTAGCAAGCAAATGAAATTTGTGGGGACTGCTACAGATCCTGTATGTTGATCTGTTTACATCACACAAACAACATGTAACAGATTAGGTAAAACAGATATGTGCAAAATAGTAAACAAATAGTATAGACAAACATCGATAGAACAACAGGTAAACAGGATATAGAAAGCATGTGACAGAACATTCTAAAGAAATAAGCCACAAAATAGACAAAAGCATGTCACAGAAATATAGAGAGAGCCTGCAAACCATTTTTATAAGAAGAGCGTACTGTGCAATGAACAGTATGCATAACAAGGTTTTCTTTAACGAGGCAGGCAAAACATATGCTGTATCAGATAAAGAAGACAGAATTGTAGCAATACTAACAAAGCAAGACCTATATGAGGTAGCTTTTTTACGATTAACAAGAGAAATACTAAAAAGAGCTGAAGAGAAGCAATCAGAAAAAAAGCTAGACATAACTATAGAAAGCCAAGATGTGGAAAAAGAACAAACATAACACAATTACAACAAAAAGCAACAAGAAATTGAAAGAATAAATCAAAAAAAAAACATCGAACAGAAGCAAGAAAAAAAGAGAACCACAGAGGAAAAACTTGGAAATACAAAAAGACAACAAGAGGAAATTGATATAACACAAAGTGGAAAAAAACAGTGGTAAGTATAGAAGCTAATAACAAAGCTATATTGAGATTCTCTGGCCAGAAACAAGAAGTTAAAGAACAAGAAAGAATGAATGAGCAAGAAGACATAGAAATAAATAGCAAGCAATCAAGTCAAAACATACTAGAAGAAGAAAAAGAAAGGTAAAAAAGAAGAAAGCAAGAAACGGAGAAAGAAATTGACATTGTAGGAATAGCATTAGAACAAGTATATAGGCGCCAAGCAGAAGAAATTGTAATCAAGGCAACAACCTAATTGCTAATATACCAGCATATGAAGTTCCTAGAGAAACAAAAGAAGAACATATAAAGTTTATTAGATGGTCTTTAAAAGATAATACATATGTGAAAAACATAGATGAAGTATTCAAGAGATGAAATCTGTGAATAGAAGTAGTCTTTGACTGCAATTATGGCAGAAATGAAGCAATACAAAGAATTAATAGAAAAGAGAGTGACTGGTACAAGATGATACCAGAAGAGGAAAAAGAGGAAGAGTGAAAAAAAGAAAATCCCAAAAACTACATGAAAAAACATCAAGATAAATTAAAACACACATTAAGATGTAGGAAAGAGAAGGTTAAAGTAGACGTTAACAGAGAAGATCCATATAATGATGAATATGAGGAAGAAGAAAAACCCAATAACAACATAACTTACCTAACAGTA